AATAGGCATGAGTTCTAGCATTTGGAACTAAATGATAAAACGCCTTCTAAGTAGTAACCAAGCAAAGAATAATGAGATCATGCAACAACTTTAGAAAACAACAATGCATAGATTATTAACTCTCCAAATAAACGTTTAGGCTCAAGTCTCACAAGGTTGTAGCGTTAGTTTGAGTTCCTTCCTTCAAGCATGTTACAAAAACTAATTTTTCCTTTATGATTGCATGTGAATTCATAAGTTATAACCACAACCAAGCATAAACCAAAGAGTAAATCAAACTTTCATCCATGTTTATAACTCTCTTTAACAGTCATGCAATTAAAAACCGAATCCTCATCATTGTGTTGGAAGGTACCCTAAGACACAAACAAATACACAAAAACAAATCAAAACAACTCTTTTTGGTTTTTTTCAAAACAATTTTTCAATTTTTTCTGGCATTTTCGGATTTTTATGTAAAACACACTAAAATGCATCAAAACAGCTTAAAAACCACTTAAAAACAGCAAGGAACAACATTGGAAGTTATGGGTGATAAAATCCTACGAATTTGCATCAAAAGCACTTATTTACCCCCCCCCCCACACTTAAATCAAACATTGTCCTCAATGTTTCAAGCATAAACTCACACAAACAAAACATAAATAAGCAACAAACAGCAACGAAACACACTAAACATGGCAGAAACGAAATAACAACTAAGAGAAGGGTTTAAGGAACGCAAATCTGGAATTGGAGTGGTTCCTAGGTCTTCCTTTGTTGAATGCATGGGTTGCCTCCCAAGTAGCGCTTGCTTTAACGTCGTGCAGCCAGATGAAGAACGCATTCACTCCCCATTGGAGCCCACAGCATGCAGGGAAATGTCATCCACGGCATACTCCTCAAAGTTCTCATAATAGGGCTTCAATCGATGCCCATTCACCTTGAATTCGTGTCCCGTTTTCAAGCTTTGGATTTGGACTGCACCATGAACAAAAACATTAGTAATAACAAATGGTCCAATCCACTTAGAACGTAACTTACTGGGAAACAAACGTAAATGGGAATTGAACAATAGCACTTTCTGCCCTATGGAGAATATTTTGCCACAAATCATTTTATCATGAAAAGCTTTGGTCTTCTCTTTGTAAATGCTAGCATTCTCGTATGCCTCATGCCTTATCTCATCAAGTTCATTCAATTGGAATTTTCTTATGACTTCCCGCTTGCATCTAGGATTCATGTTGAACTTCTTGACGGTTCAATGAGCTTTGTGCTCCAATTCAACGGGAAGATGGCATGGCTTGCCATAAATGATCCTAAATGGGGACATCCCAATGGGTGTTTTGTACGCCGTACGATATACCCACAGTGTATACCCACAGTGCGTCATCTAAGCGTAAGCTCCAATCCTTCCTTGTTGGCCCAACGGTCTTCTCTAGTATTTGCTTGATCTCTCGGTTAGACACCTCGGCTTGGCCATTTGTTTGAGGATGGTAAGGTGTAGAAACCTTATGGTTGACATTGTATTTCCTCAATAACGCCTCAATGGTCCGGTTGCAAAAATGAGACCCTCCATCACTTATGATTACACGTGGCATGCCAAACCTTGCAAATATGTTAGTTCTAATAAAATATGCAACCACTTTAGAATCATTAGTCTGGGTGGCTTTTGCTTCCACCCACTTCGACACATAATCCACCGCAAGCAAAATATACATGAAACCATACGAGGAAGGGAAGGGACCCATAAAATCAATACCCCATACATAAAAAATTTCAACATTAAGGATAGAAACCTGCGGCATTTGATCTCTAGCACCTATGTTACCCATTCTTTGGCATTTATCACATGTTAAGCAAAAAGTTCTAGCATCCTTAAAAACACTAGGCCAATAGAATCCACATTGTAACACCTTAAGTGTTGTTCTTTGTGTGCCAAAGTGCCCACCACATGCATACGTATGACAAAAGCTTAGAATGGAATGAAATTCAAAATCATGCACACATCGACGTACAATCTGATCAGGGTAAAATTTCCATAAATAGGGATCATCCCATACATAAAACCGTGCATCATGTCTTAACTTATCGCGTTGGTGCCTTGTGAAATTGCTTGGAATTCGTTTTGACACCAAAAAATTTACCAAATCGGCATACCAAGGCTCACTTACCTTTATGGATAGCAATTGTTCATAGGGGAATGTCTCGGCAATGGGTAGGGACTCCTCATTTTGCACCATTCGGCTTAGGTGGTCAGCCATCACGTTTTCACTTCCCTTCTTGTCCCGAATCTCAATGTCGAACTCTTGAAGTAGCAACATCTAACGAATTAGCCGTGGCTTGGCGTCCTTTTTAGTGAGTAAGTACTTCAAAGCTGCATGATCAATGAAAACAATTACTTTAGTACCAATTAGATATGATCTAAATTTATCTAAAGCAAAGACAACGGCAAGAAGTTCTTTTTCCGTAGTGGAATAGTTTAATTGCGCATCATTCAACGTTCGTGGGGCATAGTAGATGACATGCGGCCTCTTGTCTTTCCTTTATCCTAAAACAGCCCTTAACGCACAGTCGGACGCATCACACATAAGCTCAAAAGGTAGGTTCCAATCAGATGGGACAATGATTGGTGCCGTGGTCAACAACTCATTGAGTTGGTTGAATGATGCCGTGCATTCTCCATTGAAATCAAACGCCACATCTTTTTGTAGGAGTCGGCAAAGAGGTTGGGCAACTTTTGAGAAGTCTTTGATGAACCTACGATAGAACCCTGCATGGCCAAGAAAAGACCGAACCTCTCTAACCGAAGTAGGAGAGGGTAAGTGACGTACAAGATCTATCTTTGACTTATCAACCTCAATGTCGTTTTCAGAGATGATATGACCTAAAACTATGCCTTGTTTAACCATGAAATGACATTTTTCCCAATTAAGAACAAGGTTAGTTTCAACGCATCGTTTTAAGATCAAACTGAGATTATGCAAACAACCATCAAATGAATCACCAAAAACGCTGAAATCATCCATAAAAACTTCAATAATTTTCTCAACATAATCAGAAAATATGCTCATCATGCATCTTTGAAATGTGGCAGGTGCATTACATAAACCAAAGGGCATGCGACGATAAGCAAATGTACCAAAAGGGCATGTGAATGTGGTTTTTTCTTGGTCCTCGGGTGCTATGACAATTTGATTATAACCAGAATAACCATCAAGAAAACAATAGAAAACATAACCTGTTAACCTCTCAAGCATTTGATCGATGAATGGCAAGGGGAAGTGATCCTTCCTTGTGGTGGCGTTTAGCTTCCTATAATTGATAAACACCCTCCAACCGGTTTGAATACGAGTAGGCACAAGTTCATTTTCGGCATTTGCTACCACTGTCACTCCAGATTTCTTTGGAATGCATTGAACTGGCGAAACCCACCTACTATCCGAGATTGGATAGATTACTCCACAATCTAAAAGCTTGATGATTTCCTTCTTCACAACTTCTATCTTAGGAGGGTTGAGTCGGCGTTGAGCCTCTCAAGATGTTTTAGACCCCTCCTCCAAAAGTATGCGATGCATGCACGTAGTAGGGCTGATTCCTTTGATGTCGGCCAATGTCCATCCAATTGCCGTTTTGTGCTCCTTTAGCACCCTCACCAATTTGTCCTCTTCTTATGCGGTGAGTGAGCATGAGATAATGACGGGCAACATCTCATCTTCTCCCAAGAAAACGTACTTCAAATGACTAGGCAATGGCTTAAGTTCAAGTGTAGGTGGCTGCACAACTGAGGGAAGCATCTTATTAGCCGAAACTGAACTTAAAATTAGGTCCAACAACTTACCAGATTGTGGTGGCAATGATTCAAGGGCAGCTACCATCTCAATAACATCCTCAATAGGGGGCACGGCAAAGGAGAGTTCATGCATGCCGTGGGTTTGCATGGATGCTGCTTCCATGTTTTGCATGTCCATTCCTCGTGCAATGACCAATTCAAGTGCATCGTCCTTCAATTTGTCAAAATGGTCCTATGCCAAAGAGTCAATTACATCAATAGCAAAACATGAATGATTCTCACTAAGATACTTCATAGAATCAGAAAGATTGAAATTAATCACTTCCCCATCAAATTCCATCGTCGATGTTCCATTAAACACATCAATCTTTGTCCGGGCCGTTTTCATGAATGGCCTTCCAAGAAGGATGGGCAATGACCGGGCATGGTCAGACTCGTCCATCTCAAGCACGTAGAAATCCGTCGGGAAGATTAAATGATTAACCTGCACTAAAACATCTTCCAGAACTCCCTTTGGATAGGCATTAGATCTATCGGCCAATTGTATAATCACACCATCATTTTTCAACTCTCCTAAGTTCATAGATGCATAAATTGAATATGGCATGACATTTATAGATGCACCTAAATCTAACATGGCAAATTCAAAACGAGTATTACCAATGACACAAGGAATTGTAAAACTACCCGGATCTTTGCATTTAAGGGGCAGTTTGCGTTGCAAAATGGCTGAGACGTTTTCACCTACTTTTACAACTTCCTTGGTCGAAATCCTCTTCCTAGTGGTGCAAAGTTCCTTCAAAAACTTGGCATACCTCGAGACTTGCTTAATTGCATCCAAAAGGGGGATATTGACTTGAACTTTTCTAAACGTTTCCAAGATGTTCTTTTCAGCCTCCTCCTTCTTTGACTGCATAAACCTACAAGGAAAAGGTACATTTGGAGGAACAACGTTAGAATTAATCATAATTAGAACTTCGCTACCTGATTTGGACAGATTGGATTGATTATGGGACGTAGGAGGCTGCGGCAAGAGTGCTTCCTTCCTTGCCGTGGCTTTGGCTTGATCCTCCTCTTCGAATTGCAACTTCTTGTCCTCTCTTTAGGCTAATTTAGATGGTTGTGGATCAGTTCCAACTTCTTTTCCACTCCTTAGCATGATTGCCTTGGCAGATTCAAAGCCTCATTTCGGATTCACAACGGTTGAACTAGGCAACTTGCTTTGCTCTCAAAATTGTCCCATGAACTCCGCAATTTGCCCTACTTTTTTCTCCAACTCGTCCACCTTTTTGTCCCTAGTTTGCATACCCTGCGCCATAGAAGTTAATAATTGAAAAATCTGATCATTATCAATAGACGAACCTGATTTGTTTTGGGTGGGTTGTGCTTGAGGTTGTGTAGGTGCAAACGGGTTTTGATAGAAACCCGGGGGTTGTTGCCCAAATGCACTTTGTTGTTGGCCTTGTTGGGGTTCTCTCCATTTGAAATTTGGATGATCCCTCCATCCCGGATTGTACGTATTAGAAAAGGGATCATTTCTTTGTTGGTATTGCTGCCCAAAACCCACGACATTGAGTGTCTCCCACCCTCCGTTCTCAATCAATTGTGGGCACTTGTCCGTGAGATGTCCTTGCATGGAGCATACGCCATAAACAGCCACATTTTGTACTTTTGGTCCTTCCACAACCTAAGAAAGAAGAGTAGTAAGGTTAGCCATTTGATTTTGAAGTTCGGAGATGGCACTTACCTCATTCACTTGGTGTTGCCGTGGGGTGCTTCTTTGTCCAACACCTTCGTATTGTTGAGCATTCAACGCTCGATTAGCAATCAAAGTCTTTGCAGCCATGGGGGTCTTGTCCACCAATGCTCCTCCTGCTGAGGCATCTAGCATTTGACGTTCAATTGGTAGAAGCCCCTCGTAAAAGTATTGTAGAAGAAGCTCATCCTTCATTTAATGTTGTGGACAAGAAGAAACAAGAGATTTAAAATGTTCATAATAAGTAGGAAAAGATTCACCTTCATCTTGCTGTATTCCACTTATCCTTTTTCATAGAAGAATGACTCGAGAAGTTGGGAATAACTTCTCCAAGAAGGCCCGTTTCATGCTCTCCGAAGATGTGACAGTTCCGGGAGCTAATTCATACAACCAATCTTTCGCCTTTTCCAAGAGAGAAAAGGGAAAAGCCTTCATCTTCAATATGCTCCCGTCAACGTTGATAGGAGTCATGCTTGAACACACCATCTCGAACCCCTTCAAGTGCTTGTTGGGATCTTTCATAGACAACCCATGGTACTTCGGAATATGGTGCAACAAGCTTGACTTCAACTCGAATTCCTCGGTCTTGCCTTGAGCAGCCGCGGGATATTGGATGCATAAGGGTGCGTCATTATCTAATCCCGAAGCAGAAAGCTCCTTGATTGTTCGGTTGTTCGCTGCCATGTCTTGCACTACTTCACCCACCCTTGCCGTGGGTTCTTCCTCCTCAAACTCAGATTCGGCCTCTGAATTTGAACTTGATTCACTAGGTTCTGGATTCTTCCTCTTTCGTCTCAACTCTCACTCGAAATCGTCGTCAAAGTCCAAGATATGTTCACGAACTAGATGAGAACTCTGAGTCATAAACTAGTACCTAAAACAAGAAAACAAAACCAGGTCAGAATATGGAATTAATTAAAACAAAACAAAATAAAAGATCCAAGGGATTAGCAACTTTGCTAATCCCCGGCAACGGCGCCAAAAATTTGATGCCAAATATATAAGCACGCAAATTAAACCATCTTTTAATCAATTGTAGCAAAGTATGTAAGTAGGGATCGTTCTAAGCCGGGGATTAGGAGGGATTGCTAAAACACTTAAAACTAACTCAAAAACGTAAAACAAAGTTTAAAACACTAAACTAGACTCAAAGAATGCAAAACTAAACTCTAAAACACTAAAACAACTCAAAAGACTCAAAATAGCACAAAAACACTCAAATCTGCCTAAAAACACAAACTGGGCATATTTGAACTCTAACACTCCTTTGGACGAATTTTTGGGTTTTCTTGACTCAAAACACTTAAAAACGCGATCTAAAACATATTCTAACTAGTTAGACACTCTAAAGTAAAAGGGGGTTTGGTTTTGGATGAAAATTAAGTGAAATAGAACAAATAAGATTTAAACAAATTGTAGACGAAATTGGGTGAATTAGATGAATGATTGGCTAGCTAGGAGGTTCTTCTCCACACATGTCACACTTGCATACAAAACGATTTCCAATTGCTTTTCAATAAACTATGAATCCTCAACGCCCCAGATTAACCGTGAATTGCACTAATTAACCCTCAGATTTTCCTAAAGTTATTGAATTTGATGATTGCATACAACAACCCAAAGCATTCCCCACAAGTTCCCTACATGAATTGCATAATAGAAATACAACCAAGAATCATTAAGTTCTATGAAAATCATAAGCATTGACGAGGCACTTGTTACTATGAATTGCATGAAACTTATGCCAAGAATTTACTTAACACGATTGTGATTAGCAACCTTTACTACTCTTGAATATAAGTTTATAACGATTAGGTGAAACTCCCTTATATCCTAGCATCAGATTTATATCGATAAGCAAATTGAATTCACAACTTATGAAACGCAATTTAAAGTAATCAAATTATATAGCAAACATAAACATGGTTTCGAATCCCCCCTAGCCAAGGGGGGTTTAGTTCCTCATATGCACAAAGCAAAGATAAATAAAATTGGACATTAAAATCCAAAGAAAGAAAACACCTAGACGCGCCAACTTGGACAGCAGGTGCATCAACGAATTTCTCCTTCCTCCTTGCTGCGGCACAAAGCTTGGGGACAGGTTTTCGGGTTTATGAATGGTGTGGAATGGATGGGGGATGGTATAGTGGTGTTTAGGATGGATGGGTGGTGCGGCAAGGGCTGGTTTTGGTCAGGAATTATGGAAGAGTGGTGGTGTGGCTGCAGCAGAGAACAAGGATGAATTTCTGGCGTGAATGATGTATATGGGAGGTGGTAATTCGGCCAAGGGATGAATGAGAGTATATATAGACACATAAAACCCTAGGGAAATCAGGTTAGGACTTAGACTTAGCAGAAAATAAGGATTAGGGCCCAAACAATCAAAATCCAAAGGGGAAAAGGCTAACAAGGTGCGGCAAGGGCTGGAAAAGAAAGATAAGGCTTCTAGAAAGCCTTGCAAGGCAAGGAAAAGGGGTTTCCTTGCTGAAATTGGTGCGACACTGTTGGAAATGTACCCTAAAACCAATCATATGATGATACTTTACGGACATTTCGCATGTTAAACTAATCTAGTTTAACTATAACGGGCAAAGATTATTGTTTGAGCCGTCTCATATAAATGTTATATGCTTAAACGATAAAGTCCAAGGAATATGTGATTGGAAGAATGTAATCTAATGAAGTTAGATTCGTGAGACCATTCTTTCGTAGACACATCCTAAATGTTCCTGATCATAGGATTGCCAATTGGGCATTGACAGTCCGTCAAGATCGGTACGTGCTATGTCTTCTCTCAGGGAGAGTGACTAGTCTCGAGTCATTGGTGTGTGTGACATCAAGACAAGTACGTAGGTGCTCAGTAGAGAATGAGTTCACTGAACGTGATCAACGAAGAGTTCTCATACTCATGTCACATGAGAACTCATGTTTGGAATAATGCAAATTAGTCCTTTGACCTGAGGCATCACAGTTGTCTTGTGGTTAAGTCCTTGATCTTTGATTATGTCAAAGTCACCCCATCGGGGTGTGCACGGCATCGTTGGGGTTAAGCCACTTAGTCATGGAGGCAAGTGAATGCGCAACAAGGGATCTCTAACCTTCAAACCGTTTGAGGGAGAATACTCTATGATATGATTTAGAATCTCTGGCCAAAGTATGAATGAGATTTAGAAAAGTCGTTCTAAATCACATTCAAGAAATCATATAAGCACATGAATCACATTGGATAGTAGACATGAATAAATAAACTATCAAACCAAACAATGTGGTCAAGAGTATTGTATTAGAGAAAGACCGTATTGCATTTGTAATCCCAAACTGAATAGGTTTTCTCTACCTCTTCTGATTAGCTTGGGTAACCATGATATGCTGCAAGGTGTCACTCATGGTTTGTGGAAGCCCTAAACGTGTGTAATCACTAAAGGGGGAATTGAAAGTAAGTTTCAATTCACAATCGATGTAAAATGGTTTTAATCGCCCACTGCCTCGCTAAAAGGAACCTAATGGATCGCACACCGTGTAAGGAGGAGATTGAAGAAACAATGGAGATGAGTAAGAATGATTAAATGGTTTAATCATTTATTTATGGCAAGGATTAATTAATATGTTAATTAATCAAACGAATAAGTTCGTTAAAGACCTCGGGATAGTTTTGGACCTTAAGGCCCAATGGGCTTCGAACGTCAAGCCCATTAACTTAAGTTGTATGACAACTTAATGAATAATGATTCACAAAGGCCCAATTAGTCTAAAATATCCTAATGGCTGGCCATGATGCTAAGGGTAGTGAACTTGGACTTATTTACAAGTTTGCCACTCAAATGAATAAAGGTATAAATATGACTTTATAGCCTAAAATTCAAAAAGGGTTTTCTTTTGGAGAAAATTGGTGAGAACTTGTCTCTCCATTTCTCTCTAAAGAGGCCGGCCACCTTGGGGGGTGCATCTTGCAATCCCACTACTCCAAGGTCACTCATTTCTTCTCCAATCTCTCCTTGGTGAAGAGACTTAGAGGTTCTCAATTTTGGGAACTTGGAGAAACCTATTCTTCCATCCAAATCCATAGATTTTAGATGCAAGGAATGAAGGCCCTCTCTTTGGGTGATTAGCCTTTGCTTATGCAAAGAGGAATCTACAAAGGTATAAATTTCAACTCACTTTGATTTGAGTTGAGTTTTGGTTCACCAATCTACTAGGCTTTGAATTTCTTGGTTAATGTTTTGTTTTTAAGTGCATGCTAGCATGATTCCGCCTTTAATTGTTAATTGCATGCTATATGATGTTGCTTAAATGAACATGTTTTCACAAAAAACATCCTTCAAGTGGTATCAGAGCCTAGGTCTAGTAGTTGGTGAATCCTTTTGGATTTTGTAGTTCATAGTTTGTGATTTAAAAGTTGTAATATGTTACAAGCTTTATTCTTGTTTCTTTGAATGTAAATTTTGTTAGAAAATTTGCCATCTCAAATGTTGTAGATGTAGTTCATAAGAGCATGAATATTGGAGCTAAAATTTGGTGCCATGACTTTGGGGATTTTCGGCCAAATCCAAAGG